GGGGGGGGGGGGATATTTCATGAGTCTGCTGAGTAGCTTCTTGGTCGCTCTTGATCCGTTCCTGTTCAACCCATTTTGAAAAGCTGCGGCTGATGGCGAAGATATCATTGACCCTAGCTTCGGCCTTCTTTGCTTCTGCATGAGCGGTGGCGAATTTATCTGCCATTTCTTCGAACGTTGAGATCGACCGAGCTGGTAGTTGAGAGTACCACATTAGTGCCCCTCCTGTCAAAGTTTCGCCAAACTTCTTCATCACACGGATGGCACTTGTTCTTTTGACAAGTCATTGCCTTTTACGGCGGTGACATAGTGGATCAGATGGTCTTCTGGATCTGTTGTCCCGTCGTATATTTTCAAGTATGGTGGCATTTTGAAGGTTTTTGGTATTGAGTGAGAAGCAGCTTCCTCACTGTACGATTGTTCGACGAACCTTCCCACATCGCGTTTTGGCAGTAGCTTAGGAGCGCCGGGTATTTTGTCAACTCTTTCCTAGTGCTCCTTCATTTGGTCACGAAGCGCCTTGTTCTCGTTCTCCATTTCTTCCATTCTCTTAAAGATGGTTGCGAGTGCACCATCGCTTGCGTTGGAGATGGCGTGGTTGTTATTCGTTCGTGCAGCGCTCGGCTCATCGATATCAGCAGTGGTATCTGCCGATGGTGAATCTTCGACATTTCCTTGAGGGGGTTTCTCGAGCATGTTGCTAAGGGTGCTCGTCAACCATTCCTCCAGCAGCTTTTTGACTGTTGGGGGCGGTTCTTTCACAGCAGACGTAGAAGCTCTTCGTTCGTGCAAAATCGTTAGATCTTCGAGTGAAGAGGGCGAGATCTAGGGGTGGGCATTCGGTATTTCGGTTCGGTATTTCGGTATTCGATTTATCAATTGTGTATACCAAATACCGTACCAAATTATTTCGGTATGGTTCGGTATTTTTTATTTTGGTTCTGTACGGTTTCGGTTTAATAATCGCTAAATAAACTTATGACGCCCGACAGCCCTCTCCGTGCACAATTCATTGAATTCACTTATTCAGTGAATTCACAATTCTTCAGTGAATTCACAATTCATTAAGTATTTCACCAAGTATAAGTTAAAATCCTTTCATCTTAATAATTACTCGTAATCTCAAAGTGAGATATGGCAGAAAAAATAGAGACATCTACTTTGGCATTGAAAAACGGAGGAAACACCTGAACTATTGAAGGATGAAACTTTCACTTCAGCAAAGAATATTAGCAACTTATATCTAAGTCAAAAAAAAAAAATACTAAGTCCTCTCACGTCAATTTACTTTTCTAACGCTATAGAAGTCATTCCTTCTTGAAGTTGAATGAAGCCATCCTTCAATAGGTTTTATAGTGAACGTCCACTTTAATATGATTTCTTAAACTATATGTGTCATCCCTCTTTATATGAACATTATAGACTCGACCAAAATACTTGCACTCTACTTTGCGAACTTCTCCGTTATCTTCTTTCACCTCAAAATGTTCCCAAATATGAGAGCGTACTTTAGGAGCACGGGGTATGATTGCACTTGAACCTAAAAAAAAAAGATAAATCATAAGTTAGAATATTGTGTTTTGATGATAATAAAACAAAACTACAAAAGTATATAATTATAATAATTATATGTCTCATCTTTGCTGCTAAGCTATTTTCTGGAATACTTAAAGTAAATGAAGAAAGCAAATCAGTGTCTCTATCATGTTTATAATTATATGTTTCCTATCATGAGTTATTGAGTCATTAATTAATTGCAGGTTATTAATCCTTTTACATATTGGGAATTCCAGAAAGTGCAGCATATTTTTCAGGCTCATTTTTTTAACTATGTTTTGTTACGAGGATAAACGACCTGAAGTATAGTTAATCCCAAAAGGAAATCAATGTATACGACACAAATGCCCAAAATATCAAAACTATTCAAGATTCAAGCCAAGATGCAAATTGGACATGACAATCAAATTGGATATTTAGAGACAGAAAGAAAATTCAAAGGAATGTATAGACCCAAACCCAAACCCAAACCTGCGTCCAATCTGATTCAGATTGAGACCTCAAATTAATTCCCACACTCAGCCGCTTCCCTCCTCCCCTTTCTCTTTCTGCACGCACCATATTCTGCTCTTTCTCTCTTTAATAAAGAAAATTAAATTAAAGCGTATGTTCTTCTTCCTCTCAGCATATTTATCCCAAGTCTGTCTCTAATTCGTGAATGTGTTCTAGTTTTCGTTTTAGCAAATATCAATTTTATTAAAATTTAACTGATTAAGTACAAAAGTCTTTCTTGAGTCACGCTGTGGGTGCTCACAGCTACTAACCTGTACTTCTTTTTTCATGCTTAGTGAAGCTCATAGGTCGTATATTATTAATATTTTCTTTTTCTCTTTCAGAGACCATTAGTAATGGGTAAGAAAAAGCAAAAGATTGTGCTACCGCCGGAGCTGCCACCTGAAATTCCTGATGAGGCAGTTGAAGTATCAGATGAGGACGTGGCTTTCGTTGCGAAAAATCGAGAATATACTGGCTTCTTGTCCAATCTGGATACTAAGTCAATTAATAAGTAAGCAATTACTGACTTGTATATGCGTTTATTTTTCACTATTTTCTGGAATTAATGCACATACAGGAGTTGCTAATCACTCATTTTTTCCTGTAAAAAGTGAGAATTTGTATATTGTAAGATTGGATATGGTTTAATGTGTTAATTTTGGCTTATTTGTCTGGAAATTGATGCATAAATGAGTTTAAGTTTGGATATGATATGAATGTGGTATAAAGCTGTTCTTTTTTGCTTGGATAATGTTCACCCAAAAGTTTACTTATCTGAAAGCAAGAAAAGATGAGCTCTTGCAGAGGGGAATAAACTGTTTTAATTATCTATATGCGGGAGACTAATATTTGAAATTAAATCTGGTATTAGTTCTTTCTGACAAAGTGGTTTTTCCCCTAAGGTCACTTATGATTAAATCTGGTATAGCTGTGTTTCATTTGACACTTCCACATGTTAATGTGCTATATGGAGTACAGTAGAGCTTCAACTATCTATGCCTCATATGATGTTTGGCTCACAGGAGACTTTTTTTGTTCGAATATGCAAAATTAACTTTAGCTTCCAGAGTTTGGCACTTTGTTCAGAAGTCAGTTAGTTGGAGCAGCTTTCTAAAATCTTCAGAGCTGAATTAAGCTGTTTTAATGCCTTATCCTAGTTGGGTAACTTGTCAATGACCCATAGTTGAACAATTTAAGAAGTTCACCAAAGCTTGGAATTTTCTTAAGCTCTTGTAAATTGTAATCTTCTCACAGTATCCTGGATAGTTGAGCAGTTCTTCCAGATACTCCTGTAGTTACGCTGTTACGGTTACTTTCATTATGTTTCTTAAAAATCGTGATAGTGATTGCCCTTGTTTTTTCTGTTTCTGTCTGCTTAAATGTGGTTATCCTTCAGGTTCAGAATTTCTGTTTTGATGAATCAAATATCAACATCATCAGTCATTTCTTCTTTTTTCTCAAATAATATTCTGACTCTTAAAAAGTATCAAGGAACTTTTATGTTTCTTGTTAGATCTCTAAGTTCTCCCTTCGCATTTGGACACCTGATACAACTTTGGGGTACATTTTAGATGGAACCTCTTTTTGTTAGTTTCTTATTTCCTTTTACCCTCTTGTGCAAGTCTATTAACTTTCTAAGTTGATGTCTTCTCCTCTTATAACTGATATTATTATTGTAATTGGAAAGGCATGTTACTCGTGTTGCTGATGTGAAAGAAGATGATCTCGAGTCTCTGTATGAAAAACGAATAAGGAAGAGGTCACTTGATAAAGAAGCAGAGGAACAGGGGCTAGAGGTGGATCCTGTGGATGCTCTTCCTGTGAAAACATTGGATGGAAAACTTTATTACCGGACAGGTACTGAAACCTCTTGTTCATTCATCATCACCTGGTATTTGTATCTGTGCTAATCGTTAATTGGGTCTTAATTTCATATTGTACAGTGCCAAAGGCTACACAAAAATCAGATAAAGATGAAGCTAATGCTGACAAAGTTGGTGGTACTGATGCAAGTGTGGTGAGGTTGACTAAAGCAGAGAAGCGGGCAAAATTGAAGAAAATGAGGAAAGAGGCAAAGAAACAGGCAAAAGAGGGGGCCGAAGTAGAGGAAATTGAGAAAATACCTCAAGCTGAAGTCTTGGTATGTGCATTATCTGCAACATTAGATATCCAAAAAGATATGCTGTAGTGGTAGGATCTATATCCTAAATTATATTTGAATTGGAGATGACAGTGCAAAGAGGGGAAAAAGGCACTTGAACTTTAGAAAAGAGTAAATGTGATAGAGAGTGGGGTATTGACACAAGTTCATGCTGGTTCCCCTTGTTGCACTGCCACTATACTGTTGATGGTGGAGTTACTACCTTCTTCAGTGCTTCATGTTTTCCTAATTTTTGGTGGAGGAGGAATCTTAAAGCACTTGGATTGGTCTGATCTTTGTAAGAAGTGTTTTGGCGTTATTTTTATGCTATGCATTTCCATGTCAGATTATTCTGGAAAAATAATACTCCCCTGACCCAATAGTCAGGATGACCAATTGTCTTTGGCTGTTCCAAACGTACTTTCAATCCTCTTTCAATATATAGCATCAACAAAGTTCTGTGAGCTCATTCTTATATTAGTCCTCCAATAAATTAACCAGTACTATTAAAAGTCATCGTTAAGCAATGGAGCAATGCAAGGCGAGGTTTTATCACATTAAGCGATGCGAAGCGATGGGTTATTGCCTCATGGAAGAAGCTATATGTTTTAGATGTAAGCTGCAAAGTGAACCTGCAAGAAGTGGTTGATTGTTTGAATCTAATTTCAAAAGATAAAAAGAGGAAACGTAGGAATTTCTCTGCTCCTTGTGAATCACGTTTTTCTTCTTATTTCTCTATTCAACTCTCTTAGTTCACTTACTACAACAAAAATAGAAAACTGAATGCTAATAATTCTTTTCTACAACAGCAACAATCCAGTGGAATCCCACAAGTTGGGTCTGAGAGGGTAATGTGTAAGCAGACCTTACCCCTATCCTGGGAGGTAGAGAGACTGTTTCTGAAAAGTAATTCTTTTCTATGGTTGGTTAATTGAAAAGTAACTTTGCAATTGAATTTGTCATTCTGTGGTCTTGTTGAAGTATATTCTAGTGATGTTTACTTCGGATTCTGGGATTAACATTGTTATTACTGTATACTGGTTGCTTAAATTTGTAGAACTATAGTCAGACAAAAGAGGACACTTAAATTTGGATACAAGTATATTGATTTATACATCCGTGGTGTTAGGACGAGGTGAGAAAAGATATGACAGCAGAAGAGGACAATGAAAAAAAGAAGTTTAGACTAGCTGAGCTGGGAACTGCACTGCTTACAGATCCTGAATTAAACATCAAATCACTCAAGGAGATGCTGGAGATTTCTAAAGATGGTGATCATGATATAGTGGTACTTGCCCTTAAGTCTTTGTTGGCTGTTTTCAGAGATATCATTCCTGGGTGAGAAGTTTGCAACAGTTCATTGGTTGTTTGTAGTTTGCTTCTCCTAGTTTTATTTCTTTTATTAACTTTATAACTATGTAAACAATAAACTTTTATTTTCAATATGGGCTCCAGGTATCGCATCCGGCTGCCAACTGAAAAGGAGCAGGAGATGAAAGTTTCAAAGGCTATTAAGAAAATGCGGTTCTATGAATCTACCCTCTTATCTGCATATAAGGTTGATTTGTGGATCAACATCTCAATAATAATTGATTCTACATATGTATTCCATATAGCTGCTAGGGCATACTATCATGACATGGTTTACCACTAAGTTTTGTTCCATTTCTTTGCTTGCAAATTATTGTGCCACCTTTGTTTTGGTGCACTTTGTTAACAGACTTTTTGACCTTTTGCTTTGTGGATAGGAAAATATGAATCAGGCCATTGAAATTGTATTTTGTTTGGAATAACAGGAATATGGTCCAGTTGTTCTTGTTTCTGGTGTTACATGATAGCATTGTACTTTATGCAGATAAACGGGCTAGGACTGCAGTTATACTTATGTATTCCTCGAGATGTTGGGTTGAATTATTGAATTCCTCTTGCATAGCAATAATTTTACATATTTCAGTTTATTATTACTTAATTGAATAAACACTAGACAGATTATTCTTTATCCAGGCATTGTATAAATTATCTTAGCTGTGGGATATTAAATACAAAGAATTAAAATAGATCAATCACTTGAAAATAAGTAAATAGGTTCGATGAGTGTAAGGCCTAGCTAGACCTACCTGCTATGTTAAGTATTTTCATGCACTAAAGACTTCTATAAAATAAATAGAGGTAAAAAATTAAGAATCTTTTGACTTTGGAAAGGAGCAATCAAATGGGTATAATCTAAGTTATTATGGATGAATGTACCTTTTCTCAAAAGAACTTCTGGATATATCTCGTAACAGCAAGATAAGTAGCTGATACGAAGAAAATTCAAAATTTGAAGTAACATAGAATGTGGCTTCTTGTTTTTTTTCTTTCTTTTTTTCTTCTTCTTATTTTTAAAAGGTCTTAGAAACTTAACTTGCATCCTTAGAAATGTTACTCATGATTGTTGGATTGCAAAATCAAATATAATTCTAGTCTTTGAACATTTGACAATATTCCGTGTCAGATATTTTTGCTGATTACTCCTTTTCCTGTTTGTGTATTGACAGGCTTATATACAGAAGCTGATAGCTCTAGAAAAGCAGGCTGTATACAAACGAGTCGCAGTTCGCTGCATTTGTACTTTACTCGAGGCAGTTCCACACTTCAATTTCCGAGAAAGTTTGTTAGCTGCTGTCATAAGAAACATAAGCTCTGAGGATGATGTATCGAGGTAATTATGCTTACTGCTCTTTCGGTTCCTTCAGCTTTTCCACTTTCCTTTATTTGGAGCTGGTTGAAGGAACTTCCATCTTCTTATATCATTTGTTGCCTATCATTTGTTTCCCTCCATCAATCCTTTGTTAAGTTGTCCTACAATCCTGTTCTAGTGGCAGGAAATCCGCAGTTCTCACAACGAGTCTAATGTGAACTTTCTTCATCAAGTTGCTTTGGAATTATAGATGATGCAAGAGAAGCATCTACATATTTGGTTTCTGTTCTGATGTCATTGCAGCAAAATTAAGCTTTAAAATAGTCTACAACTACAAGCATGGCTTTCATGGAAGGCCTGGTATTGAAGTGCTTAAGAGTTTGGCTGAATAAAATACGTAGCTTTAACGTGCAATGAGGTTTTGCAGAGTAAACCTAAAAATCAGGTCTCAATTTGGTTAGTTGGAGGATTGAGAGACCCCATAAAACTGAAATGCACTTCTTTTTGATAATCGAGAAATCTCTGAGGGTCAGTAACCCACGGTTCAAAATGCAGTGGGTAATGCGGTCAGTAACCCATGGTTCAAAATGCAGTGGGTAATGGGCCCTCCCCTCTACCCTTCTCCACTTAAATACCAGGTTTTTGTCTAGGGCAGTGTTTGAACCCGTAACATGCGCCTAACCCACACGTCATGTACTGTGCTCTTACCACTAAATCAATCCCTTGGGGGAAAGCATAGCAATGCACCTTTTTGTAGACCTAAGCTATATTTAAACTATTTGTTGAATCATTTAAGGATTTGAAGTGATAGAATGTTTGAAAGGGGGCTTCTATGAAAGTGTTTGGGGATTTCAGAGGGCTTCTCGCCAGTTAATCAACCAGCACCATTGTTTACTTTAGTGCTTTCAGTTCGTCCAATATCTTATGTCTAATCTATTTTCCCGTTTTAAGTGATGTAATTTGACTAGGCATGGATATTAGGAATAGTTGAGATGCTTAATTTTAATTATGGAGCTGACCCTTTACTTATGTTATATTGAATCCCCGTCCCCCTTTTCGCTAAAATTAACTTTAAAAGTTTTGATAGNTTCGGCTTTTGCTTGATTAACTCTTTGACAGGAAGTTTCAACTCGTATTGCTATTTATATTCATCTGTTAATGTGGTATTGGATATTTGTCTTATATTGCTTCTTGCCTTATCCAAAACTTGAATGTTAATATGTGGTTTAAAGATCTACTAAATTGGCTTCTGTTGGCAAAAACTTGGATATTTACTATACAGTTCAAGTCTAAAAAAATTCAAAAGCCTCCTTCCTCGAGGAAAAGCAAACACCAAAACCATGCACTTCAAAGTTTTGAGACGTGTTGCGTTGTTATGTAGACTAGTCCTCTCTCTCCACACATGCGTGCTAATTGTGAACAGAATATTCAAATAATAGAATTGGGCCTCCAGGTTATGATGCTTTTTTTTCAATTAGCAATTGTGCTCTCTCAAGTTTGTCAATCTACTGCTTGTTGACAGGAAACTTTGCTGTTCTACTGTTAAGTCACTATTCACCAATGAGGGGAAGCATGGTGGTGAGGCAACTGTGGAGGCTGTTCAAATGATCGCAGACCTTGTTAAAGATCATGATTGTCAACTACATCCTGATTCCATTGAGGTCTGCAACTTTAATTCCAATACATTGGCTCTAGGCTTTTTCGGTAGATTGTTTATGATGTCATCTTGAATTTGAAGCACAAATCCTGGTATTGGGCCAAAAAGGACGAATATTTCAATGTCGATGTGATGACTGTGTCAAACATTTGGAAAGATAATGGTGATCTTTCAAAATGTTGCTAGTCAACTTATGACAGTAATACTCTCAACAATGTTCATTCAAGTATCTGGAAGTCTTGCTTAATTTTAGTTGGCATTTAACCTTAAGGATATAGTTTTTGATTTAGCATTGGGAAAACTTATTATCTTATGACATGATTTTGTGATGCTCAGGTGTTTATGTCTCTGACATTTGATGAGGATCTTGGGAAGCGTGAAAAGCGAGATGCTGATAATAAATTTAAAAGCAAAAATTCTAAAAGGAAGAACCTTAAGGAGCTGAAAGAATCAGCTGCAAATGAGAAAAAGAAAGCACGGAAAGAGATGATGTCAAAGACACGAGAAGAGGTATTATTTTGCCAACATAGTCTGTATTTGGCTTGTTAACTATAACCTCATTTGCACATCTTCATGTTTTACAGGTTACTGCAGAATTGAAGGCTGCTTCATTAACTACCGATGTCACTGAAAGGAGAAGGATGCAGTCTGATGTATTATCAGCTGTCTTTCAGACGTTCTTTCGTGTCCTAAAGCATGCATTAAGGCCTCGGTATGTTCATTTTGCTGATGATATAAATGGAGCATGTCAAATAATGAATTCGCTTACCATGAACCGACCAGATTTGAACTTGAACCACATCATATAACTAGTTCCTCTGTGAGAAAATACTACGAGTCCACCTTTTTTACGTGCTACCTGGCGTTTATTATTATTTTGATGAAGTTGGTAATTTTGTTGATTTAATGAGAAATCCCCTCATACAAGGTGTATAGGAAAGTGGAGAATCTCACACAGAAACATGATCCTTTACAGGGAGCTATCTAGCTTTTATAGAAAAAAAAAGAAGAAGAAAGACAAATGAAATCCTAGGAGAACAGAACACATGACTGTCAAACCAGTCATTCATGTACTTTCTCTATGCAAAACTATAACTAGCCATTAATGGTATACAAAGAAGAGGACGAATCAAATTTGCAGTAAAGGTCAATTTGTGAAACCAGAAGAGATATCTGAAGAAGATGAATAGGAGGAAGAAAGAAGACCACCTTCCATTTTCTTTCTAATTTTAATTGATTTACTCATAAAAGAAAATAACGAAGAAGACAGATCCTGGTAGTTTTTTGGAGGATTCAGTCTCCAACTTTTTGAAATTTTTATTTTTTACTAATCCATCTTTATTTGTTATATGAATACATCTGCCATTCTGCTTTTCTTTCTATCAAGAATAGTTCATGAGCTCCAAGCCATTATTATGCTTTCACGGATGCATTTGTGTTGCCTTGATTTCAAATTAATTTTGGTTACTGATATTGATATTTTTCTAGCATATTTGGTTTCCCTTTGTGTTCTCAGATAGTTATGCATTTTCTATTATATTGCAAATTCTTCATATGATATATTTCCTTTAGTTGTCTGTGTATTGTATTTTGAGGTTAAATGAAAACAAAGACTATGATCTATATCCATGATGGGGGAAAAAGGGAAAGCTACAGAAGTTTTTTTGATAACCGAAAAATCCCCGAGGCACGGTAGTGAATGGTACGGAATTTGGTGGATAATGGCCTGCTGCTCTACCCTTCTCAACTTAAATACCAGACTTTTGTTTGCATCAGAATGCGGACCTGTGACGCGTGCCTAACCCACACATCACGTGCTGCACTCTTACCATTAGACTAGTGTCCTGGGATCAAGGGAAAGCTATGGAAGTTTGTAGCAAGTAGTTAAGGTTGATATCTTTAGGAATTAAGAAACATGTCGATGCCCTTGATTGTGTTAGGGATTAGGAATTAAGAAATGTGTCGACGCCCTTGATTGTGTTATGGATGCCATGAATTGCGTTTTGGCTACTCGAGGAAACATTTGGAAGTTTTGTCAAAGATTAGAAAGTGTTTTTACAACTGAAATTATGAATCAGCACAATCTTCCACTTTACAAGGTTAATGGATAACTCGGGAAATTATGTAAATGGCTGTTTTGAAGCACAAAAAGATCTGAGTGATTAAATTAGGCTGGGAGATAAAATAGATGCTTCAGCATTCATGAAATGTTAAGAAAACATTTGTAAGTTTAAGACTGCTTTTCACAAGTTATGTTGTGTTGAAGTAGAAAACTTTGGAGTTTAGAATTTATAATCGAAATGTGTTGCATTTGATGCGCCATCAATGTCTAAGTTGTTGAATTGCAAATTTATGACAAATCTATTAGGTTTTCTACAAAATTTATGCGTTTTTGCACAACTTATGTAGATTTAGCTTGTAACTAAAGTATGTGAATAAGAATTATCTTCTGCATATAACTTTTTGCCAGCTTAGCCTTCAAATCTAGAAATAGTTATTACCATCTTTTAAATTATTTTTCCACAACTAATATTTAATTAATGGTATAAAATCATAATTTGCTTTTTCCTTCATACAATGTGGTGAATTCTAGTAAAGGTTTTAACATCGAATTGAAGTTCGAGTTCAGTGGGACCTGCATATTGTTGATGGCCATGATCGAATGAAACATTCAAATATTTTAACTGCATAGGAAAAGTTAGAAGAAAGAAAGAGTTATTGCGTGAGACTAATGTTTCTTGACCATTGTGTATTTATATTTACAATAATTTCTAGAACCGTTGATTGTGGTACTCTTGATCACATTGAAATTGGGCCATCATTTCTAATTACTTAATTATTGGATATGCTTCCTAACATTCTAACTTAGGGATTACAATAACTATGTAGTTAACTCTTAACCCCATTGAAAACGGCCACCATTTTTAATTCCTTAATTATTGGATATGGGTTCCTAATAATTCTAACTTAGGGATTACGGTAACTATGTAGTTATATTATTACAATCAGCATGTACATTATTATTTACCAAAAAAAAGTTTATTACAATCATCACTGCCGCGGTGCCGCCTTGAGTTGGAGCTTGCAAATCTTATGGTTCAAGCTACTCATATACAATATTCTAGGTCCTTCAAGTGATTTGACAAAAACTATCCTAGTTGATTCGCCAACAAAAGTTGGAACTGTATCTTCAGATGCTATGTACAAAGTGGCGATCAATTTCCATATGCTTGTTCGCTTTCAAAGACTAAATTATAGTCAATATGCAAGATTGACATATATCAACTACATGTGTCAACTCAGGCAACAACAATTCAGTAAGCTACTATTTTAGCCAATCTAGCAGCAAGTTCCAACGAAGATATATTTTGCTTCAGTATGGCCGTACCACAACATTATGTTTCTTGTATTCCTTTGAATGAAGATTTGTCCAAATTAAACACTGTACTTAGAGGTTGAATCCTATCTAAAGGACAACTGGCCCGTTCAACATCAGTATACTTGACGTGGATGTCCCTATATCTGCATACTACGTTTTTTTATATCTCATAAACATTCCAATGACTTGCACTTGTGAATCCAAGCATCGATGAAAAGCAAGTCAGATGTTTGAATTGCTGATCAAAACTTAAATTACCCATAAGTCTTCTATACTAGGATCAGGTCTCCCTGTCCTTTTAGAGACAACATTTGGATCCACTAGAGTAGCGACCAACTTAGAGTCAATCATCTTTGTCTCCTTGAGAATGTCTAGAGCTTATTTCCCTTATTAAATGCAAGGCCATGAGTAAACTAACCACCCTGGTTCAAAGGGAATATATCAATTTTGCAGAAATCCTTGGTTTAAAATAAGTAAAATATTGTTTCAATCTGCCATGCTGGTAAGATTCATCACACGTGATAATTTTTACCTTATCCAACAAAAAAAAAGAAAAAAATAGTCATCACCGTGATAAGTATGATAACAACATGGGCCGCAAGATAAATACACAGGTCAGGTTTGGTGTCAGAGAATGCGGAATAATGAGCCTCATTACAAATCAAACAAATGTCAGACAATGTCTGGATCTATTAAACCAAGCTCAGTGGAGATGGCTAAGTATTCATGGGCATTGGCACTATTTGTTAGATGCTCCGTATTGATTGTGTAACTCAGCAAGTTTTGGTGTATGAAAAATAATTTATGACAAATTTTCATCATCGATAACCTAGTCTGTTAAAAAGTTGTCAACTAAGATACTAATTCCTCTTACAAAATTGGCGCTGCTATGGTGCCAGGCATCAATATGAACTAAATAAAAGGGAGACAACCTGTTTTCTGTCTCAACTAAGATAAGACTTCGGAGAACGTTACTTGAATTTAATGACTTACACCTCAGGCAACTGAAATTTGAAAGACTTGGGACCAGCTGAATGTAGACTATGGAGGAGAAATATGAATAACACTAAAGAATTATGATACTCTTTCTCTTAATTTTGATACCATGTAGAGAATAAGCTAGAGAGGGACATATAAAGTTTGAGAATGCATGGAAGTAATGCCTCTCACCTTTTGTGTATTTGTACCTTTGAAAGGTGTGAACCACCTCATTTTAAAGTTCAAACTATCAGAGAGATTACTTTATTCATTTGATTTTGTTTTAATGCCCTCTCACGTGCATGTTTGATTCTTTTTCTCGGGCCTTGCTCATGGAAATTCTCTTTGATAACGGGCGGTGCTGAGACTTGAATGTGGGATCTGTCCTTGATCTGATACCATGTTAAATCGTGTGAACTATCTCATTTAAAAGATTACGCTATTAGAGAGGAAATTCTTTTATTTATTCAACAATGTCTTAGCTTATACTGCAATGTAGTTCTATTATCTTGTTTACAATTCTCATATATTATCTCCTATTGATTATGGGACTTCTACCTCATTTATATCATTCCTAATTCCACTAATTCTAGGATTGGGAGATGACTTCCTAACAGAGTTGTCATAAGCGAAAAAGCTCTAAAAAGCGCTCTAGGTCTGTTGGGGCTTTAAGCGCAAAGAGCACTTAAAGTGGGGGCTTTAGTAAGAAAAGGCAGCATGTCTTAATGCCTTTCCTTAGGCTGATGCGCAACTTAAGCGACGCGAAGCTCCTTCCCTGAGCTTTTCTGAGCTTCAGGGCTTAAGCGCGGCTTAAATGAGCCTTTGATAACACTGCTTCCTAATTCCTCTTGTTATAGTGTTACAATTATTGTACTACATAATTACAATCAATAGTAGCCATCATAACTAAACAGAATAAAGACATGCTTGCAGAGATTTATGTGATGTAAGTTCTAATCCTGAATAAATTGCTACTGACGTTCACCGGGTGATGTTTTACATCTTTCCAAGTGCTGGAACATAATGTCAGCTTGTGGAACTACATTAACTGATTTGAAATAAAACTTATCTACAGAAATTAGTGCTTATGGTGCAGGTTGCTGAAGTCTTAATTCAGTTTGAGTTTGTTATCACAAGAAACTCATTCTGGTTTTGGATATCCAAAGCATCTTGGATGTTATGTTTAAATTTTGCTTTATTAGCTCCTGCATCAGTACAGTCTATACTATACTTGACCACTGTGTTTACACTTAATGCCTTTCACTTAATGCTGTCTCAAAAAGTAACTTCTCTGTTATTATTACTCAGATCAAAAGCAGGTTCTTCACCTCAGGCACCTGGAAGTCATCCACTTCTTGCTCCTTGTCTTAATGGAATTGGGAAATTTTGCCAACTCATCGACTTAGATTTCATGTCCGATCTTATGAATTATCTGAGGAAGCTTGCCGGAAGTGGCAACAACTCTGGTGATTCTTCCATGGTTGGTTCAGCATGTCTGACAGTATCTGAAAGGCTCCAGTGTTGCATTGCTGCTTTCAAAGTGATGAGAAACAACTTGGACGCACTGAATGTAGATCTTCAGGATTTCTTTGTCCAACTTTACAATCTGATAATTGAGTATAGGCCAGGAAGGTAAATCC